CTTTACACTCTGCCTGCAAGAGACCGGTCGCTTTTCGCGACTTCCAGCTTCTCCTTCAGAGTTTGACTCTGTGCAAAAACGACCGGTCGCTCTCCTTCACTTGCAACCTTAAATGTGAGCCATTTTCCAACAATATCAAGTTGACCGTTCTGGATACCAGGGAAAATCCAAATCCAATTGTTGCAATGGATTTGTGGGTGGAAGCGGTCGTCCACATGTTTTGAAATACTTAAGCAGTTGCATGCGCAATATGAAAGTCCAGAATTCAAATGAATTGTTACAAAATGTGATAAGGGCTTTATTATATGCAACCCTTTTTTATGCGAGTAGCGGTGGATCTGTGCGCGTGTTTGACGTAAAAGAAACAAACGTTACAAAGGTATATGACCGTCCGGTTCTGGGAGCGCTTGTTGATCATTACGATGCGTTAGCTAGGCATCTTTCCAATTCATTGTTCTTTCTCTTTGACCAAGATCATTACAAGTATACACCTGACAATAATGCGAAAATACACCCAATGTTCCGAAGACAGTTTAAAGGAGAGAAATATGAAAGGAATGTTGTCGTATTGCTAGGAACAAGATTCGTTGTACGACTCGTACATTTTGAGAACCCAATTGATAAACTATATGAGAAGCTGCAGAGTAAAGACAATCAACTGAAAAGAAAAAATAGTCAACCTATTGTGCCTCATGAAGTTGAAGATCTACCGCTAGTTGAAGTTAAAACTAAACTTGGTCAGTTTGGTATTTTGTGTGGTCAGCCAACACGGGAGTTCGTGAAAAATTTACAGGATCGGCAACATCTTCTTTAAAGAATGCATTCGTTTAGACTAGTGGGTGAAATAACCCATTTATTAATTTATTTCATTTGTTTTCCTTTTTCATTAATCAGTGGAATACACCTCAATTGGTTGAGAATCCTTTAACTTTTCTTAAGTCTTTCTAGTAGTGTTCATGTAACATCATACTCATTTGGAATTAAGTTTGTGCATATATTGTTCTTAAAGTATAAAAGCTTATTTTAATTTTTCTTTTGGACCAAGCTAAATGAATCTAAAGATCAACATAATACATTTAGTAATTCAGCGGTCCCAAAAATCAGTATAGCTGCTGGCCAAATGTAGGCACTACTGTATAATTTCTAGTACAAGGGGTCGAATTTCTATATTAGTTTGGTATAGCCGCCGGCTATACTCGGTTTGTTCCAATTTGTTTTTAAAAAATAAATAGTATAGATGCGCGGCCATACTCGGTTGTTTCAATTTTTTTTAAAATATAATGTCTTTAAATAGTATAGCCTCGTTTTTTTCCTTTTTTTTTTAAACAAAAACAAAAACAAAATAGTATAGCCGCTCGGCTATACTCGGATGCCCCAATTTTTTTATAAAAAGAAATCGTATAGCCGCGCGACTATACTCGGGTTTTTCAAAAAAATAAAAATAAAAATACCGCGTAGCGTTACTCGGCTCCTTTTTTTTATATTTTTTTATAATAAATAGTATAGCCGCGCGGCTATACGCTTTATATATATAGTATTTTTTTTAAAAAGTGGGTGTACATTTTGGTTATTTTTTTATAAAAACTCATGAGTTGACTCAGCAAATCTACTGCAAAGCTAATTAGGTAAGCCACAAATTTAGGTATCCTTTCCTCATTTTTTTCCCTAAGAAAAGACAAGGCATTCCGGATTAGTAAAATTTGAGTTGATTTATTTAGTTTTCAAATGTTTCCCTTTGTTTGTTTTAAGGGTAATTGTGTCTATTTAGGTGAATATTTGGCTAAATTTGAAAGTTTTTATAAAAGCAACATTTTTTTTAATATAGGAGGTAGATTTTGACTATTTTTATAAAAACTCTCAACTCAAAACCCCGGGCCAATGTCCACCGTAATATCAGGGACTGTCCTGTCCCTCATGCAAAAGTAGCACCATCCATCTTAGTAAGTTTTTTTTTTTTTGGGTCAAACAGTTTTTTATTTTTTTGATGATGGGGGGAGAACCCCATACACAGAAACTTGACCATGTCTTGCTTAATTTCGTTGTCTCTTTGTGCCACCAAGGTTATGTTATGTTTGATAGAAAAATTGGGAATAGACTAGCAGCTAGACTTTTGAATCCAAAGTTTTGATGGATAGAAACAATATCCTCGTCGTTATAATAGTTGGGCTGGCCTGAAAACCATCCCTCCATGCAGTGGCGGAGCCAGAAATCGAAACACAAGGGGTCTTAGTGTAAAAGTCCCAAAAAAAAAATTTAGGATAGCATCAACATATATATTCTACATATGCAAAAAAATAAAAATAAAAACTCACATTGTTACTGGAAATTAGTGCGATAAACATCTCTAAGAATCTCATACTTCACTTACGCACTAAACACATAAACTTGAGACATCATTTTATTTGAGATCACATAGAAAAGGGAAACATACAACTAGAATTTATTAGTACAGACTTTCAGTGGGTAGACATTTTCACTAAACCTCTTCCAGCACTCATGAAACACAAAAACATGTTGGATATCTTTTCCGCAAATTGGACATCTTTTCCACCGAATTAATTATAAAATAAGGAAAAGAGGGAGGAGGGAGGAGAGAGGAGATTATGTAGTTACCCTAAATTCCTTAATTAAACTGCTGCCTAAGTTTTAAATTTATAAATAAAAAAAATTAGAATGGCATGCACAGGCTGAGGCGCAAGAGTGGCAGAAGTTGCAGCTTCAGATGGATATTAAAAATATAAACTTTGTTATTACTGGGGGCAAGAATGCTTTGTGATGGTCCAGAGGCCAATAGATAGCAATTTGCCATTTTGCTTTGACTTCAATTGTAGCGTCTCACAGGCTTAGGAGCAAAGTCTTCTGTGTGGCCAAGAATATGTAAAATACATTTGAACTTTGGCTTGAGGACAAATTCCGTCAAGTTGTGTTGTGGAGAAGCGGTGGCTGGAGAGGATACGCTGGTCTTTTCCAATTTTTTCAAACCTAGCCCAAAACGACGTCGTTTTGGCCAGGTCGTTTTTATAAATAAAAAAAAACTAGCGCACGCCAGCCTTCTACTTCAGCCTGCAACCCATCGTTCTTTCAGACATTTCGTCGACCATATGGTGTGCAGCTCCAAGAGGTCGCACCAGCAGCTCCAATGGACCTCTAAGCCTATTTCCATGGCTTCCAAGAGGTCGTGCGACCCCAATGACCCCACTATGGCTCCGCCTCTACCTCCATGAGCACAGTATTTAGGCTGGGATAATTGTCCGCGTACTCAATTTGTTTGTTCACATCCCAGATGCCGATAGCTCAACAAAGATTATTGTTTGGTCATATGGACACGTGTCAATTATTGAGAAGGGTGGTAATGATACACCTTGGGTTAAAGTTGTGAGCAAATCCTCTCCACTTTTACAATTATAATTGCACATCGTCAAAGTTTTGTTTTAAAACAGTGATAAATTCAAATTTTATAATACGTTGTTGTTGAAAAATAAAAAACAAATCACATTTTACAAATTTTCTCTTATTGAAGAGGAAGACAATCTAAATTGGACGGCAATACACATGCAAATATGAGCTTAGGAAAATTAGCTAGAGCGGATGATTTGATTTCATATGTACATACATTTTTTACTCTTCTTCTCCCTTCTCTATGTCTCCCCCCACCCCCAATTCAAGGCATTGAAATACAAATGAAAACCTTTGTGACTATATAGAAAAAGACCACAGTGAGAAAATTAATTGTGGTATCTTCCACATCAATCAAGCCAGGCTTGAAAACAGCCTCTCCATAATCAATTACATTCTCCACCTTGGATTTTCCATGATTTTCTACTTATTTAACAATGGAAACAATCTTCCCCTCCTTTGCCTCAACTGCTCATATACAAAATGCGTTGGTATATACGCAGAAATTTGTTCATGCAAATTGGAATGTTTTTTGTTTGGTACAACTTTCAACATCATTAAAAACTTGTAGTAATAGGTGAGGAACTATAGAATTCAAAAAACGAATTTAGAGAGCAAAGTGACATTTAGATAATAGTTACAATTTAGTGTATATTATATCTTCATTTCACGTCGAGAAAGTAATCCCATTAAAAATTCTTGATGGAATATTATATTATTGAAACAGATTCATTATCCATTTGGTTATATATCTCTAAGCCACTTGCCCTAGTGTACTATTCAAAAAAGAAAGTAACCCATAAAAGAAACAGAAATTAGCTAGGCAAATAAACACTTTAAGAATCAAAACATTACATTACAAATACCTCAATATATTTTCTTTTATCAAAATCACATTTTGCAAAAGCTCAGTGCTTTCTCTTGTGCAACTTTTCTATTGTGTAATCTATCCAAACTCATTTGGATTAGATGGGCAACCTTTCATTAGAGTTCCTATGTGACGAAAACCACGAGCCCTCCCTTCAAAGTAGATATGTGGTAATAGTGGCCAGTTAGAATACTTTTGTATCCCCTCCATGACTTCATTGTCCATAAGAAGATCAAAACTTCCAAATTCGACCTCATGTCTCTTCAACATGTTAACAACCATTTTGCTAAATTCACATTTGGGATCCTCAGGGGTTCCTTTCATGAAAAGCATGACTCGATTAGAGTCAATCAGCTGTTGCAGCCGCCTTTTCAAGGCATCATCAAGGCCATCTTGCGCTTGAATTTGCTCTTGGGAAGATTCATTTTCTTTTGTCAACTCTGGAGCAGGTTCTTCAGGCTTAACTGCAACTTTATTAGCCAAACTAGATGGATATGCACCTTCTAATGTATCAGCCACCTTTCCATCCTGCCAAGAGACAGCACAAACAATTTTGGAACAGGCAAAAAGAGGAGAGAATGAGACCGAGAACGTTGCTTACTAGGTACACTAAGGCCCCGTTTGGGATTGCTTTTTTTGGCCAAAAACCAACTTCACTTTAAAGTTAAGCAGTTTAAGGTGTTTGGTAAAAATAAAATATGCCGATTATTTTAAAAGCAGTGGCCTTTTGACAGCAGCTTTTAAAAGCAGACTCTGGGTTGCTTTTCAAAGCTGCTTTCAAAAGAAGCAGAAATGAACATTTAATGAATTTTTTTAATTCCCAAAATACCATCATTCATTTTTTAAAAATGACACCACCTCCACTTCCACATCCAACTCCACCACTTGCACCACCACATTCACTACCTCCACAACCACCA